ATAATCTTGATCCGAACAGCTGTTCGCTATTTCATATGATGATTATGTGATAAACATTGTGAGAAAACTTGACAAAAATCGCACAAAATTGGGTTTTAAACGTCCGTAAGTTTTTTTTACAAAGTAGCGAGGCCATATTTTAATAGCTAAAGACACTTTCGCCAATCCAGTGAATACATTAAAATGATTCGAGGATCTTGATAGGTACTCTCGTTTTCAGGAGAAGGCCGCGTAAAATGGCCTTTGGACCGTGACAGAGGGAAGATAGACAACAACGGAATTGAGATAATAATTGATGATTCAGATAATAACGGAATTGAGATGAAACTTTTTTCGGATTCTTGAATGTTTAAAACGTAAAAATAATCTAAAAGTTGATGATTCTGAGCAATGTACAGACAAAACTCTAATTTTATTTATATAGATTAGTACCTGTGGTGATTTTTATTAGAAATTTATTGAAGTAAATAAACAGCAAAGTTAAAAACCATCTGACCAGTGTTTTTATTTAAAAAGTACGTAGGCCTATTTGATTGGCTTTGTTTTCTGAACTAAAATATATATTTCCTGGTCTATTTTTAGTTCCTGTTTTCGAAACATAATTTGGCAAAACAATTATTTATTCATTAAACAACTTGATCGAAAAATAATTTCTAAACATTGGAGGACAATTAAAAAACTTTTGAATTCTAATAAACCTAGCTGCCGTACCTGTGTTTTACATCGGAGAGGATTTTGAAGAGAAAAAGTTTGATACACGTCACATATTTCAAATCCCACTCCAAACACGTCATGTTAATACGTTTACTTCCTTAAATTAAGAATGTCACAATCTCCAATTAACAGGCCCGTAGCAAAAGTTAAAAGTTTCACAAATCGAATCGTTTCTACCTTTTGGACCGCAAAATCAAAGAACTTTATTGACAGCATTTAAAGCTGACTTCGTTAAACATTCTGTTATCTACATTCTTCAAAAATGTAAACATTGTGAAACTTTGGAATCCCATGGGGCGTAACTCAAAGAAAACACGTTAAATGTAATCGGTATATTTGTTAACCAGGTACAGGGCTACCTCTTGAATTGATATAGATAATAAATCGAAAAATAAAGAAATATAAGTTGATTGATTATTGGCTCTTACAAAAGGGTAAACAATCAAGGAACATGATTTAATTAAGTAACCACACATCACTGAGTCTATATCTTCATTCTTTCTTGTAAAAATTGCTTTGATTGTGGCTATATAAAATAGGGAAGTAATATTTCACTGTACAACGAGCTCAAAAAGCTCGAGAACCAGCAATAAGATGGAAATAACCGGCAGAACCTTTAACCATCCACTGGCTCGCTAGTCGCTACCCCAGGTCGGTCGGTAGCCGGGTAGCCCATCAATGGAACCCGTTAGACTCGCCCCTACCTCTCGCCACAAAAGAGACAAGAATTTTGCCTTGTTCCACACGCCTTTGATTGTTTGAGGCGGGAAAACTATTTGTGTGCTACGGCCCGCGCAACACAGGATATTGTTTTCGTATTAGTTGGCCTTTTTCCAAGATGACCGTGACCGTTAACTTATTTTATGGACTCCCTTGGAGAATAATTCAAAACTACAAAGAACATTTCTAATCCCACAGTATACTAGCTATTTAAATTATAAACACTTTGGTGTTTGAAAAATATTTTTGGACGATAAATTTTGCAGCTTTTTGAAATCATCCAAGATGGCCGCTTGCCTCCAAGGACTCAACAATAGGCCTAATTGTGCGACTATAAAGCAATAACTTCCCACCTTACGCTTGCGAATTAGTACGGTACATATTTGTATCCACAGTTGCCAGGACGACTATTAAGACGACCAAAGATTACATTGACTTTTAGGTATTTAATCTGTAGAATAGTAATTGTTAAGTAATCTGGAAGACAACTAATTAAAATGAAGTGCGAAAGATGGGTTATGAGAGTGCTCAATGCCTGAAGCATAATCCATTTGTTTGAGGTGCGGATTTTCAAGCTTGTAGAACAAATAAATATCACAAAGTAGAAGGGCAGGGGTGAAAGTGACTGAAGTGACGGGATACCCGGGTGGATTTTCAGTGACTGGATTCCAGTGGTATGCGGTAAAATATATAGTGACTGGCTTAGCAGCACAAATTTTACGTGACTGGCTTTCCCATGCAAATGCGGTGGTGACTGCATTAGCATAGCATTTTTTACGTAATTATATTTTAGTATTTTTAAGAAAAAAAGAGATATATACGTTCAGATATGTCTAGGCTTAAGATATTTACCAACATATATTATATATATATCATAGTCTTGAAATATATTGGGGGGTGCAACTGACTGACTTCCAGTGTATATTTTATGTGACTGGCTTCCCGGGCGCGGCCGTGTATATATATATATATATATTAATATATCCCTCCAAGTGTCTCTAGTTTTGGTCTTAATGTTCGCCCATTTATTGCGCAATCGCAGGGTTTTATTAAAATGTATCTTAGAAACTTAAAAACAATGTAAAGTATACTGTTTTATATATTATTTTGTTTGGAAAATTATGGGCTTCAATGTAACATATAAAACATTACAAAAAAATGTTCAACAATTTTTGTGGGGTTAACATTTCTCAAAAATTATAAAATAAATGATAAAAATTTATGTTTGCGCTCAATAAATTGTTATAATTTATAGGTCTACAAATATTTGAAATAGCCACTTTGTTCAGAATTTTATGAGGATTCCAAAAATATAATAATGTAAGGAAGTCGGTTTGCAAATAAATAAGTTATGGGCAAAAAAACAGATTTCGGTACATAGCGTTTAGCTAAGAATGCATAGCCTAACCATAGCTAGGAATCTGGCTGATAATTTACATCAATATCACTACCTACTTCTTCAGGATCATCAACCAGCCCTTCTAAATCACTTAAATCTTCTTATAATGCACCACGTATATCACTAATTTTGATTTTTTACACTAAAACAATGATAAACGTAATAAAACACATCACTCATCGGTGCGAGGTTACCAAGGTGTTTACAAATACGCACGTCAGCTGTCTGCTACAATATTTTCGGAACTAAAATGAAAAGCGTATAGAAACAGACATCAGGAGAAAGCTCTGAATCTGCTGAAAAAAACTATACCTAACTCGATCCAGTTCAATCCGATTCAGTCAGTCCCAGAACCGTCGCCGTAAACAGTGTTTGTGGGTCGCAAAAGCGACACATAACACTACAGCGGATGTGTTATGAGTCGCTTTTACAACACATAACACTGGGAGGGTTAAATATATATATATATTTTTTTTATATAGTTCTGTTCACTTTTTAGGGCTACTTTTTCAATTAATAAGGAAAATAATAAAAACCAGAGTACCCTGAAATTCATTTTTTATTTAAACTGATACGTATTTCGGCACTAAGGCCATGATCACAGTATGAGCTATATCAAAGTATGTAAACAAATAAAATAAATAAATAGTTAATAACATATGTTTTGAATTCATATTAAATTTTGATTAAATGGTTAGGTGTATTTGTTAACATGTGAATGTGCAAGATTCTTCCCTGATTTGTTTGATTTTTTCATGTATTGGATTTTGCTTTTGTTTTTGCATTACGTTGAGAATTTGGTCACCGTGTTCTTTTGAATGTAGGTATATTTGCAGCTCTTCTTTTATATCCATTTTTTCGCCCTTTTTCTCATAATTTAGAATTTTGACACATTCTTCTAATTTACCATAATTATGATTATTTTATAATATGTGTTCTGCATACATTGAGCGTTGGGATGTTTTATTGTTTGATTTTACGGCTTGGATATGTTCTTTGAATCTGCATGAAAATGCTCTTCGAGTCTGACCAATGTAGAATTTGGGACTATTTAGACATTTAATTTTGTATATTCCAGATTTGTTATATTTGTCAATTGTTTGTGGGTTCTTGTTTGATAGTTTATTAATTAAATTGAATGCGTTGTTCTAGATCTATAGCTAATTTTGAATTTAGATGCTTGAAATGTTTTTCTGATTGGTTTGTTTAATACCGAACTGTACGGAAGACAAATAAACTCCTTCTTCTCTTCTATGTCTAAATTTTGGGTTTTCTTATTTTTTATCTTCTTGATTAATTTGTCTATTAAACTATCCTTGTATCCATGTCTTGTGGCTATTTCTTTTATAATAGATTTTTCCAAATCGTAATCATCTTCATTTAAAGGTACTCTTAACATTCTGTGTACCATAGAGTTGAAGCTTGCCATTTTATGTTGCCACGGTGAATTTGAGTCAGCAGGAATAACAAGATCTGTTTGAGTGGCTTTTCTATAAATTTTAAAATAATGTTTGTCATTGTTTTTTCCAATTGTTTAGTCGATAAAATTGATTTCATCTTTTTGTATTTCCATTGTGAATTTTTTTTTCTTAGATATTGTGTTTAAATAGGATAAAAAGTCAGTGCACGATTTTTCATTTCCTTTGAATAGACATAATATATTATCTACATATCTGTGCCAATATATTATGTTTTCCTTATGAGGGTTATTTTTGTTCATTATCTTATTTGCTTCTAAGTCATTCAAATATATGTCAGCTAATAAGCCAGAAGGTGGTGATCCCTTCGCTAAACCATCACATTGTTTGTAAATTTTAGAATAATATTGAAAATAATTTTGATTAGTTACGTTTTTCGTTAATTTAATTATGTCATCAAACCAGTGATTAAGTGATGAGTGAGTCAGTGAGTGAGTGAGTCAGTGAGTCAGTGAGGGCTCTGCCTTTTATATATTTAGATATACAGTCAAGAACCCTCAATTAATATTGAAATTAAAATCATGTTAGTCGGTATGAATCTAAAACATTCTATTACCTAGAAGTATTGATATTTTATTTAAAAATCCATCAATAGCTTTATACTACAGTAATACAAAATAGTTTCCTACAAAAACTAATTTTGTAGTTAGTTTATATCAACAAATGTACAGTACATTTCCTGTCAATAGGAACAGTGTGTTCATGAGGCCATCTCAGCTGGATGCCATGGGTGAGGGTGACAGAGCATCATCATCTTCACCCGTGCATCAGCCACCTCCGCCCTACAACCCAATGTGGGCCACACGCACCTTTCGCCCGCCTCTAGGTAAGACTAGACAATAACTGTAATATATTGGAATCAGCTGATAATTTGGTTTTATGTTTATTATGAAAATGTAAACAAATAATGTTATATTTTGTTCTGTGATTAAATGAGTTTAAGTTAGTTCTTGATTTTATTTCACTGGCGACGATGAGTAAAAAACGAACCCAAAGATGTGAAGATATTGGTTGGAACAATAAAGAAGAGGTGCGAAAGAGAATGGAAAAATTTTCAATAGAACCCTATGATGAAAAATTGAACTGGGAGGATTATGAAGCTCACTTCCAATTGATGTGCAAGGTAAAGGGATTGGGGGATGACAGTGATGAAACTGAGGAGGCCAGAAGGGATCTTCTTCTAGCATATGTTGGACCTGTACCCCTCAAAAAGGTATCTAGCTTTGTTTTACCTAGGAAAATTTATGACATACCAATGACTGAACTGCTTGATACATTTCGGTGTGTATATAAACCTAGTAAAACAATCTTTGCAGCGAGACTAGACTTTGAAAAATGTGTGAGAGGAAATGATGAGAGTTTTTCAAATTTCGTCTTACGTTTAAAAGAGTTAGCCTCCTACTGTAAATATGACAAGTATTTTGAGGAAAGAGTAAGGGATAGATTTGCTGGTGGCGTTAACTTTCCACAGTTTGAAGTTGAAATCAGGCAAAGGTGGCCAGAAGGCATAAATAAAGATGGTTCACGTTTAACTTTAAATGAGTTGGTAGATTTAGCTGAAGCGATGGATAGAGCTAAGCGGGAAATGAATATTTTAGAAGAAGCTAGGCCTGTAATTAACAAGGTACATAACTACGATAAGAAAAATAGATCTTTGGCAAAAGAAACATACAGCCATTCTACAGAAGATTGTAATCAATGTGGACTAGTACACAGTGGAGAATTTGTCCAGCTCAAAAGTCTAAGTGTTTTTCATGTAGAAAGCAAGTAATTTCTCACGGCTATGTGGAACCAAAAAGACAAAACAATGTCACTTCTGTGGAAAGATGGGTCATTTTCCGCGACATTGTCGTTCAAAAAAGGCCTATTTGAACCAAATCAACGACACAGACATACAATCTGAGGAAGAAGAGGTACAGTTAGGAATTTCTGAACTTAAACCTAATAGGAAGAGCCCAAGAGCACAAATAAATGTTACCCTAAATGAAGTACCAACAACCATGGAGTTTGATTCAGGAGCTAGAGCATCGATAAATGATGCACCCCTGTGGAAACAAATTGGATCACCAAATTTGAGGGCATGTAAAACAAAATTTGTCGCTTATGGAGACAATACCCTGGATGTTTTAGGAGAGTGTGAAGTTAATGTTAAAGTTGATGGACAGATTAGGAAACTTAAGGCTGCTGTGGTAAATGGAAACGAATCACCTTTGTTTGGATTACCATGGATGCTCGCCTTCAACATGAAATTACCACCTAGTGTTACGATTCGTAAGTTGGATAACACCAATAAGGATGAAAATGCTTCTACAGTAACCGAAGAGGAAATTAACCAAGTTATTTCAGAGTTTAGTGATGTATTTAAGAAAGAATTGGGAATAATTAAAGGCTATCAGGCGAAGATACATGTTAAGAGTGACTCAGAGCCTAGGTGTTTTCCTGCTCGCAGAGTGCCTTTTCCACTAAGAAGTAGAGTTGAGCAAGAACTAAACAGACTGGTAAGTGACGGTGTTATAGAAAAGGTAGACCCTTACAAAACTCCTATCGAATGGGCAACACCAACAGTAAATGTTGAGAAGGAAAATGGCACAATTAGAATATGTGGAGATTTTCGGGTAACCTTAAACCCAAACATCGTTACTCATACAACACTTTTGCCAACTTTTGAGGAACTGACGAATAAAGTATCTCGAGGGAAGCAGTATTCAGTTGTCGACTTGAGAGATGCATATCTCCAAATGGAAGTATCGGAGGAAGACAGAAAATATCTGGTAATATCCACGCACGTTGGATACTATAGATACAAGAGACTACCATTTGGTATAACCTCCAGCCCAGGTATCTTTCAGGAATACATGGAGAAGCTCCTTGAAGGCATACCACAAGTGGGGGTACTTCTAGATGATATAATCATTACGGGCCGAAACAAAGAAGAACACCTCAAGAACTTAAAGGAAGTATTAAAACGAATGAGTGACGCGGGGCTAAAAGCGAAGAAAGAAAAATGTAGATTCATGCAGAATTCAGTCACCTATCTTGGACATATTATCGATGAACAGGGTATCCATCCAACAAAAGAGAAGATTGAAGCAATACAAAAGGCACCTAAACCTACAAATGTCAAACAGCTTAGGTCTTTTTTAGGATCCATAAACTATTATGAAAGGTTTATCCCTAGGTTGCATGCACTGTGCTCAAGGTTACATCGACTTACTAGCAACAGATCGAAATGGATGTGGACAGAGAAAGAAGATGAAGTATTTACAAAGGTCAAAATGATTCTTTCGGAAGAAGACACAGTTGTTCCATATGATGAATCCAAACCTCTAGTGTTGGTGTGTGATGCGTCAGAAGACGGTCTTGGGAGTGTCCTAATGCACAAGTGTGAAGATGGTCTAGAAAAACCAATCGCGTATGCTAGCAGAACTCTTTGAGATGCTGAGAAAAGATACTCGAATATTGATCGAGTAGCACTTGCAATTTTATTTGCTGTAAGAAAGTTTCACCAATATGTATATGGACGAAGCTTCACACTTGTCACCGATCATAAACCCCTTCAAAGAATATTTGGAGAAACCCGGAATCTTCCAAAGGTAATGAACAATAAGTTGGTGAGATGGGCCCTAGAACTGAATCAGTACAATTTTCAAATCAAGTACAGGAAAGGAGATGAAAACGTTTGTGCTGATGCACTATCCCGTCTTCCCATCAGAATCAGAGAAGAAGCTACCGATGTAAGAGACATAAAGTTTTTAAACATGGATAAAGTTGAGACATTGGTGTCCTATAAGGAACTCAAACATAACAGCAGTTTGGACAAGGAGATCAAATTAGTACAAAGTTATGTGCTAAATGCATGGCCAGAGAAGGTTCCAGATAACATTAAAACATTTAAACAAAGGAAAGAAGAATTATCAGTTGAAGATGGTGTTTTGATGTGGTTTGGTAGAGTTGTTGTGCCAACAAATATGAGAAAAAAAATCTTGAGAATTTTGCACTGTGGCCATCCTGGAATTTCAGCTATGAGATCAATTACCAGATACTATGTATGGTGACATTGACAAAGACGTTGAAATGCATGTAAAGACTTGTGAAGCATGTCAAGAAAACAGAGGAAACATTGAAGAAGTCCCGGTCTATCCATGGAACATTCCTGAAAAAGTGTGGGAAAGAGTTCATTTGGATTTAGCTGGACCAGTTGATGGAGTAATGTGGTTAGTAGGGATTGACACGCTATCTAAGTGGGCTGAAGTTGAATGTTTAAGAACAACGACTTCAACTGCCATAATTCAAAGATTACGATCGTGGATGAGCAGGTATGGGATACCATCACAAGTAGTAACTGACAACGGCCCACAGTTTGTCTCTACTGAAATGGAAGCATTTTTCAAGAGACATTCAATTCGACATATAAGAACTACTCCTTATCATCCTAGAAGTAATGGCTTAGTTGAACGTCTAATAGGAACTTTGAAAAGGCGTTACAGAACAACAAAACAAGAAATTAATGATTCTACATTGGCATTGCAAAATGTGTTGTTCAGTTACAGAAATGCCCCACAAAAAACAACAGGACGAGCCCCTGCAGAGTTGTTTCTTGGTCGAAGAATGCCAACTATGTTGGATAACATGAAACCAAACCTTAGACAACAATTAGATCTGAAAATTTGGAAGGAACAACAAAACCCAACTCAAAAGAAAGCCTTAAGAGCATTCAGTGAAGGGGAAGAAGTATGGATGAAAAAAGAGAATAACCCTGGTTGGATAGCAGGAACAATAGTCAAACGCAATGGCTTATACTCTTATGAAGTCATGTGTAGTGGAGTGATAAAAAGAAAACATTCGGATCACCTGTGAAGAAGAGAAGGTGCGGTAGACGATGAGGAGGGAAAAGTGTAATATATTGGAATCAGCTGATAATTTTCTTTTATGTTTATTATGAAAATATAAACAAATAATGTTATATTTTGTTCTGTGATTAAATGAGTTTAAGTTAGTTCTTGATTTTATTTCAATAACACAATGGAAGTTCTATGTCAAAAGCTACAATCAAAGTCCGGTTAGAGAACCACAAACGATAAGACAAACTTGAAGGAATTATTAGGCTCAGATTGACCTTTGTAATTAGTCTGACACTCTTTTGTAAGTCATGCAACAGACATAACTGTTATTTTATAAGTTTTAGGCCGCGGCTCCACTTGCAGTAGATTGCCGCGCTGCAAATTGTAGCTGGTCAGTTGAAGAAATGGGAATGCAGCGATCAACGAAGGTGGCTCCACTAGCGACAGTCGGCAGCGCGCTACATTTTACGGCGCGCCGTAGAATGTAGCGTCGCGCGGGAATGGAACTCGGACCATTTTCGCGCTACATTTTGCAGCCAACAGGTGGCTCCACTAGCTGTAGATTGTAGTGCCGTGCCAAGTCAGTGTACATACAGCCGACAGGCATACATGGACAAGACACACGCTACAATCAGTTTTGACTTTTTAGTGTCCTTAGTTTTTTTTATTTTCGTGGATTGATTTGTAATCAATGGAGCCTGAACTGGACTGTGAAATTATTATATTAGAAATTATTAAATTATTACAACGGGAGTGTGGGAATCTTGTTTTATAGAGGTTGTGTAGGGGTTTGCTACTTTATATTATAAAGTAATACAGTGGCAATTGGAGAAACAAAATGTGTGAAAACATGTTATAATTATAACCCCTTTAATAAAAAGCTCCTAATGGCTGTTTTAGATTATTATTAATAGGTACAACAAAAACTCACGAAACTCATTGATATTCACCTTATACATTGGTTACTTAGAAACATTACTTCTGAGGGTGAATGAGTGTAATAAAATTAAAATAGAATAGAAATAGAGATAAAATGACCATTATAGACTACTAGAGTAATTGGACACACCAAGGATTATTAAAGCGACGGTTCACTGTATACAATTAACTAGTTAAAATTCAGTATACTAAAATTACTTTAATGTCACTGAAAGCCTTTCCTCTACTCCAATTGCTTCTCTTAGTTTGGTATCCTTCTTAAAACTTGTTGATACTAATTTAATTAAGTAATCAAATGAGTTTTGGGACATTTGATAATATAAAAAAAAAAAAATTGTCTGAATACTTTTGTAGTTTAGTATGCAATGTGTGGAACATCCCTTCGGACTTTCCGTTGCTTAATATTGGATGGATCCACCATTTTCCTGCAGTGATCGGCGTCGTCTTGATAAAGTACACTGATAACAACACTATGAATGTTATTTGTAATTTGCAGCATGATCCAGGGCTACGTTTACCTCCGCGCTACACTAAACTGCTAGTGGAGCCACGGTGCATCTGAGGACGCTGCAGATTGTTGTTCGTACTCTGCTGCTAGTGGAGCCACCAACTGTAGCGTGTAGCACGCTACAATTTGCAGCGCGACAATTTACGGCAAGTGGAGCCGCAGCCTTACCAAACAAAGCAGATTTAGGTTTACTTTCCTGACATTATTGTTTTTTCAGTTCATCCTGTTGGTTCACCCTGTGATCGACCTGAGAAAGATGAACAATCACACCAGCGTAAAGATGAAAGGTAAGTTGTTATTTAACATTTTTGCTTGTTCAAAAATAGTTTTGTAGGTACCAGTTTGGTTAAAATTATTTAATGTTTGAAAAATCATTTAAAAAAAAAACACTAGTCGTTATATCTGTGCATTGCAATGGTAAGAGAACAAGGAAAAAAATACTGTAGTACTTTAGATCTGCTGGATGAAATAGTTTCATATCCATAATTGAATAGAATCAGAACTTAATATTTTATCCCTTAGTTTGATAAACTCCTTTTCTTTTGATTCAGGTGGGGGGTTTAAATTCCCTAGGATAGGTATTAATACGGTGTATAAGTGGGGCTCATGCGTGCTAATAAATAAACACTATAGCAACTATATGATTTATTTTTTTGAAGTTAATTAATTGTTGGTGATGGTGAGTTTATGTTGTTCAAAGGTTTATTGCATACATTTTCCATCACGATGGTAAAAAAACAATACATAACGTTTCGGGATCTGAAATCTGATCCCGTTCTTAGGTGAAAAAACTTAACTAACTCATTACAACTAACAATACACAAACGCCCAACCTAAGTTGGAATACATTACAAAGGGTAGTAGTAAAACAATGCACTGTATAGCCACAACCACCTTTAACTACAGGCCGACTACAGGTTCGAAGTGGCAACACCGCATGGGATGGCTGGATGGCTACTGATACGCACTGAACGCTCGCACTCGCGCCGCGGAGGATTGGAGCAAGCACGCAAATTATCTATTAATTTAGATGTTTTATATCTGACAACACTGATGTGTAGGAAAAGAAGTAAAGAATTATACAAGGCTTTCGTGTCAATACAAGATTATAATAAAATATTTATTAAAACCTTTAACAGTACATTGAAAGTATAAGTATTAGGCCTATAATTGTAGTTTTCTTCCGTCTCTTCTATGTATTTACTCTATGATTTATTATCTGTCAAACACTTATAATTTAAATCCTATCTACAATGTTATTAAGTTACAGCTTCTATGTAAGCTATTGTTTTATCAATTATTAGAATGAAGACGTTTACTATACAAAGTAAAAATTGACAAAAGCAATAAATAACATTATTTTATTCAAGAGAGGATTGATATTTTTCTATAGTTACAGTGGCTATTATTTTTGTCTTTTTTTACTTTCGTGTAGTTATTTAACAAAATATTGCTCATTCTCAAAATAATTTTTGACACTTTTTCCCTCAAATTTACTCCGCTTATACAAACAGTTTCAGCTATTTCTGAAATATCGATATCTGACATAAAAATTACTGTCACAAAAAACCAGCCAACACAGAAGAACAACTGCACGCTAATTATACATGTCTTTGCTAATTTTAGTTATTCTATTTTATTCATTATTTTGCCTCCTGAACTGTTGTTCAAAGTATTCTCTAGGTTACGTACCTTATACAGTCAAACAGTTCTGAATCCAGTCACTAAAGGACGATGCACATTTCAGAGCATTAAAGCCCTATCTTCAGGTACATGGATACTTATTAATTCATCTTCTAGATTCGTCAAAATTTTTAAACATTAAAAACACATTACACTAACACATAATTCAACATTTATACAGGTACATGTGCCGGCCGGCTATAGATCCCGACTTTAGTCTCTAGTCGACTCTAGACTCTAGTCGGGATCTATAGCCGGCCGGCACATGTACCTGTATAAATTTTGAATTATGTGTTAGTGTAATGTGTTTTTAATGTTTAAAAATTTTGAGGAATCTGGAAGTTGAATTAATAAGTATCCATGGACCTGAAGATAGGGCTTTAATGCTCTGAAATGCGCATCGTCCTTTAGTGACTGGATTCAGAACTGTTTGACTGTATAAGGTACGTAACCTAGAGAATACTTTAGTTATTCGCTAATTCCACGTAATTCAATCTAGATGGTGGTCGCCACGCCGCTATTGGTTGATGAGCGCTAAGTTTAAAGATTCCGCTAGCCCCTCCTTTCCATTGTCTGTTGCAAGATTATGATCAATGTATTAGTTATTAACACTAATACCGAAACCCTACCTAGGCTCAGGCTGACGTTAACTGAAACCCCTGGTCTGTGAGACCCCATTTTCAAAATAATGGATCCTGATTAGAAACACACAAACCGAAACCCTCGGCCCGCTTTAAAATACACTAACGCTGGGCTTCTGAGACGGACATGTTATGAACAGACAACCTGTCAAGGTCATGGCACCCATGCAAAATGAACAAACAATATATCAATAGGTAGGGGAGGAAAAGGGGGGAAGGTATTGGGGGAATGGAATCTACCAAAAAAACAGTGTTGCCAACATGCGTTTTTGAAAATTCCCGTGGGCCTGTCAGACCGGGGTTTCGGTATTAGTGTTAATGCTGGCGCAATAACACAATGAATGAAGTAATATTTTTATTTCTCATAATACTAAGGGTGTGAAAATGCAGTATATTTAAACCGCGACCACTAGTTCCGTACTAACGTAATGGTGAAACGGCCGGGAGTTAATGCTCGGTGCGACGTTGCCAATTCTCGCTGGCCGCGGCCTGAAGTTAAAGGAGGCAGTGGTATAGCAGTCAAGTCATGATACAACATGCAAATGATAACCAATCACAAAACACTACAGTCTATAAAGGTGTAGTTTGAACAGCTCACACAATGGAACACTAATCGCACAGTTCGCACTGACTCCACCAATGAGACTGAAGCATCATGGCCGAGACCAATCCAAAACATGGAAACAACCAGCAATGGCGTCCAGTCCCTGGAAAAGTAAAACCAACAAAATGGCGGAGTGATGTACGATGCAGCAAAAAGGGTGTTAATTCTGTTTATTCCTATCATGAGCTTTACTACGGGTTAACAATACGTGCAATTTTTTTTAGGAGAACTCGTGATTTCCCTTTTTATTGAACAACTAAGTTCCCTATTGTTTAGTTCCTTGTTCAGAATAGGTAGTCTGTTTACGAATGTCCCCGTTTTGGAAACCCTCAAAATAATTATTGATACTTGTCTCACAAACGACGATACTTTAACAGAACTATACTCCCTGTCAAGGTCATAATGGAACTTTTGGAGTTGTGTACTCAGTGTAACTATTTCCAATTAGAGGGTAAATTGTACCGTCAAGATGAGGGTATGGCCATGGGGTCACTATTGTCGCCTATCTTTGCCAATATCTTTATGGAGGAGATTGAGCAAAAATCTCCGGCTTCAGCTCGGCTCAAACCGAAGATATGGTGGAGGTATGTCGATGACACTTTTGTGGTTTTCCCTCATGGAGATGATGAATTGAAGGAGTTTTTAGAGCACCTTAATAGCGTTTCATCTTCCATATAATGGCCATGGAAGTGGAATCACAAAACAAACTCCCCTTTTTGGACGTGTGCGTAGAGAAGCATTTTAACAGTCTTAGAACATCTGTTTATAGAAAGAAGAGACACACACAGGACAGTATTTAAACTTTCAATCTAACCACCAAATTTCCGCCAAGGAGGGGGTTGCTTACTCTTTGTTTGACAGGGCTAAGAGCATTTGTTCCAATCAGGTAGTTTTTGCAATAAGTGGAAAAATAATTATCATGGTTGACAATAAGAATTTATAAATGAGTAAATAAAAATATAACCTAGTAACTTTAACTTGGTAGGCTACCGACATTTCACCATCGTTTCTCGGTTCTGGTTCTTTTCCCAAGAACCAGTGGAACCGACATTTAACATGAAGTACCGGCCCATAACTACAAACAACATAATTTAGTAAGACAATAAAATCAATTACAAATCACTGTCTTGCTACAATGTTTTTAGTAGTTTTTAGATCATTCATTTACATTTTTAATGTTTCAGTAAACCTGACGAGCGGAGATCTTCTTCCCCCTGAATGACTATGGATTTTTATTACTGTACTTAACATTCCAATTTGCTTTTTAGTCAATTTTTAAATTTTATTGTTTAATATACCGTACTCAAGTATTAGATGATGATTTGAATCTCTCACTACTGTCAGTAATTTAATTGCTTTCTTCTTAATTTAAAGTGTTTGATTTACATTAAACATTTTTGTATGTGAATGGATGTTTTTGTTTTACGTTCAGTACAATGTTGGCGTTCTTTCAAATATTATGTGTATGAATGGACAATCACTTAAGTATGATACAAAAATTTAAATAATTATGGCTTGTCCAAGAGATTTGCATTACCTTCATATTGAAAGTTAATTTTAAATCATCGACATTGTTTATAATTTTAAATCCAAATATGTGCCTAGTAGACTCTTGTGATAGGCAATCAGATATGATATAGTCTGGTAAATCCTGTAATCCAGGCATCTTATAGACCCAATATCATATACTTTATACGATAACGGGTGTCCCTGTAACATCCCTTTAATCCTACTTTAATCAATTTTTATGATTGAAGTATAATTTTAAGTCTTATGATCTAGGGCACGTGCTAGATAATACTTGAATGGTAAATAAAAAGGCTATTTCCTTTAGGGGTTCCCCCCTCTCTAGTAAAATTTATTTCTAGAGGCCATTTTTAAAAATCTAGGTATGCTGACAAACTTTCATAAACTAGTTTAAATGAGTTTTAGTTGTAATAATTTACAACTGTTCCATCATAGAGTGTTTTAAATATATATTTAAAATAGATAATTTTTCCTTTTTTGACAACTGTGAGAGGAAGGTAAATAAATCACTCTTTAGATCTGAAATCAAGAAATTGGTTGAAAACTAGTATTTCTATTCACCTAATAACTGTTCTAAATAAAAGTAATCTTGAATCGGTTAATGGGTATTGCATTGGATTTATTTTGCCTCGGAAATAAGTTTTTGACCCTATAAAACTGTGCAATTTGTGCACGGGTCCCCTCGTATCCATTAAAGGGAGTGTATAAAATTGTTTTTCGTCATACTGCTGCAAAAACAGCCGTTTTTAATACACACGTTGCAGGTATAAAGTAGCCCTTTTACTACCTAGGGAGTAAAAAGCCATTTTAATCCCTAGAAAGTAAGTCAGCTGCTGTAAACTCAGTTCTAAACTTAAGCGATTGTAAGCAATAGCATTTCGATATTAGCCTATGTATCAATTGATTTAATCGGTAGTAGATTATTGTTGCATTCTTATGAATAGTTTGATTTATCGAGTAATGTACACTAACACAATCATAATAGACAAATTAACAAATTGATTGAATCAATGACTTAACATCTGCTTGTTTGCATTATCAAAAATTAAAAACAAGTTGAAAGTCATCTTTACATAAATATTTGTTTTCTAACTTATTTTGTGAAATGATGTCGAATATGATAAAAAATATATCGTACACGGGGCAAAATGTGTCTTTTCAACCCTTGCTCAATTCCCGACCTTGGTCGTGAAACTTGAGCTTGGGTCAAAAAGAGTCAGTTTACGCCTTAGTGATTAAATATTTGAGTACTCTGATATCCCTAATAGCCTTCTTCATCCTCTGCGAAATTAGTGCACGAGAGTCTACTGTGGCTATTTTTTTATTATGTTGCCAGCAAAATGTATGTAGTAGAAAATTATTTTTGGTAAACAAGGGCATAAATTATAGTAATTTATATAAAAAATGACATCATAAGTACCCTCTTTTACATATTCAGTATACACCAAGTTGGCTGTTTTTTTTTTTTTTTTTACTGATGGATACTTCTTTAGTTATGTCTGTGATAGTAATATTGTGAGAGAAGGTTTTTGTTTAAGTTTGTGTTAATAACCAATGTGTTTAAACATTGCATTTATATATATATTATTATTTCTCTAAGCGATTGTTTAAAATCAATATTGTGAGAGTTTGACAGCTTGCATTATGTTGAAATAGGGCTCTAATTAAAGGTCTTGGTCCCAGGGGGTCTTGAAAAATAGCAGGTTATATCCAAATTTACCAGAAAATGAGAAATAACAAAAATATCTTTAATTTAAAATACATTGGGATTGAAAAACGTCTGCTTTGTTTACATTAACACGTCCGCTACTGGGCGTCGCATATGCGACGCCGCGGTCATTTGACTCAGACCGAGGTATACATTTGAATCTTATCTTACACATAGACCGGCTGTCACTTAGTTAACAGTAAACACAGACCACGGGCAAAATCCTGTAAAACAGTGATAATTTACATTGTAATACGCTGCAACCGTGTTTGTAAATAATTTATTGTTGTTTTTATTTTTGTATTTTTTATAACCTTTTGTAATGTTGCATATTTGCGACGCCCGGTCTACAGCGAAGACAATAGTGAAAATTATCATTGTTTTCTTCAAATAGCCCAAACGCCGCATATATGCAACAGTTCATTTTTGTTTGTGTTTTGAAGTGAAAGTAAGTAAATAAAACAGATTATTCAAGAACAGTTTATAACTGAACAAATATAAAAGTTACCTAGGATAATGCAGCATACATACATACAGTGATGCAGAAAAGTAAAGACCAGTTTTTCCAACTATCTTATGACGTCACCAATCATCATATCCACAGACCAAGCGACGCGGTTGTGTGTCAGACATCTCTGTAGACTACTGCAGGGAATTCAGTGCCTTCAAATAGACCGTTACAAAGCTATAAGCATTTTAATAACATTAGAATCCCGACGCAAATATGCTACGGCAGTCTATGGGTAGAAACAGGCCGTCGCATATGTGCGTCGCTGGTCCATGTGAATGAAAAATTTCGTACTATTGCAGTAGCGAACGTGTTAAACATGTGATTACAAATGTATTATCATTTTTATTCTACTTTTAATTCTGTTGATATAGTGTGTGAAGTTTGTTCCTAACAACAGACAAATGACACAACAAATGATTTTTCCTAGAGTTACCTAACAATGTACATGTTCTCTCTCTGATTTGAGAAAGCAAAGTGGCCAATTCGCTCATCAGTGAGACAATGTTAACATAGTCTCATCATTTCATGTTAACATTGTCTCACTCTAATTACTTTGTCTCACTCCAGATTTCCATGTGAATGCACGAAATAGTGAGCGTGTAACATGCAGACAAGGTCGTATGCGCGCGAAATACGTTGGCAGCACTGGCTGTAAATCAGCTGGTCAGCTGTTGTACTGTTGTATTTGTCACAGCATTAAATGTCATATTAAAAGTTCACTTATGTGTAAAAATATGTTACGTTTCTTTACCAATTTATTTTTTTTATGGTAACTGTAGGAAAAATATAATGTGCAACTCGAGTGCAAAGTGCAATTGTCTCACTCGAGAAACCATTCCTCCTTGTCCATTTTTCTTTACAGTTTATATTAATGATTTGCCCAAAAACTTAAATACCTATTCCATTATTTATGCTGATGATACAACATTACTTTCCAATCATGAAACCTTGATTTATTTACAAGAAATGTCCCGACAAGCAGAGACAATGGCTTATGATTGGTTCTCGACAAATAAACTATCCTGTAATTTGGAAAAAACACAATATATAACATTGAGTTTAAAAAGAGAAGTCAATATGGAATCGGTCAAGCTTTTAGGAATACATATTGACTCAAAATTAAACTGGTCTGATCACATCAAATCTGTTTGTAGCAAAATTTCAAGAGTGACTTGCCTGCTTTGGAAACTCAAAAGTTTTGTTAGTCCTGATTATTTGAGACTAGCATACTTTGGCCTTTTTCAGGCACATGTAATATATGGATTGCTTGCATGGGGTCACTCACCACATGTTAATGACATCCTATTGCTTCAAAAAAAAGCTATTTGTAATATGGCAGGAGTCGATCACGTAGCACACTGTAAGCAACTTTTTGTAGAGTTCAAAATTCCTACAGTATTCAATCTATACATCTTTCAAGTTCTGGTTTATGCTAAAACAAACTTAAATATGTTTCGTACTAGGCAAAATATTCATAATCATAATACCAGGGGGAGGGGGAATTTGGATATAGTACCACATAGGCTTACCAAAACTAAAACTTCTTTTAAACTAAATTGCATTTACTTTTTTAATAAGCTGCCTGAGAATGCAAGAGAGGTTAGTTTAAACAGGTTTAAATCTGTATTGTACACTTGGCTGGTAGAAAATCCCTTTTATAAACTTGAGGAGTTTTTTAATACACAAGTTTGTATTTCTTTTTAATACATTAATGTCTTGTTTTATTTTTATTTGCTATATGTTACATTTGTATAACATTGTATAACAAATTGACTTGTCCTATTTCTGTACAAACAGATCAATGGTAATAAAATATTCTTATTCTTATTCTCACTTGCCTACGGCTCGTGAGTAAGGATTTCTCTCGAGTGAGGCAATTGCTCACTTTGCTCACTAGTTGCACAAATAACTATAGATAATTCTGCTTCCACTTAAGTGATCTAAAAATGATTGACTTACAATTTTCAGAGATCATTTGATTATTAGTTTGTTTAATTATAACTATAATTTGTTTTACATTTGAGCTTTTTATGGACTTATGCCCCTACATGCCACTAGTTTTTAAGTTATGTTACTGTACTACATTTGTTCATGTGTTAAGACTTAAGAGTGTGCATCAAGTACTATTAATTCACTAATTGGTTGTTATATGAGTATATTATATAGTTTTCCATTCCCAAATGAAACGTTAACTGTTAATATATTGCGATTACCGGTATAAGTAAATATTTTGTTTTTAAATTTTACCAAACTAATTTTTTATAAATTGTGTAGCTTTTGTTTTACAATTCAATTGGTTAATTTTAGTTTTGAGTAAGGAATATATCACATATCATGTACATTTAAGTTTTACAGTTAGTAGGTATAATTGTTTTCAAGTAAATCTTACAACTAGCTAAACCAATAAAAAATATCAAGTTCTACTTTGGTTTGTTGAACAGAATCAAAGTAATAAATAATTTTTAAATTTTAATTAAAAATAAATTGTTGCAACATTTTTTTGGTTTTTAATAACCTTTTATTCCATTTTTTGTGATAGATTTTACTTGGCATTCCCGAAACTCAGTTATCATTCTCTTTAACATTCTCTTTTTGGGTAGTGTGGTAGTAAATGTATTGTATATTAGGTCTTTCATTCTTACTGGAAATGCAGCAAACTGATTCTAAACTATTATTATTTTATGATAAACTTTAGATAATGTTCATAATATAACCGATATATTGATTAAGATAGTTTAATAACAAAACAAAGGAATCTATTTTCCAGTATCAATCAGTTATTGTAAAAGTATTTTTCTAATACCTAAGTAAATAATCATGGTTTTAAAAGGTAATTGTTACCCTGATGCAGTAAGACTTTGTCACACTATGAGAACCAAGTAGCGGAGATGTAACACTATTTGTATGAGTAACACTTGGTCCTTTCTTCTTTCTAACTGCCAGGTCTAAAAATGTCCACTTTCCACTTTGTGACATATACACTGTAGGAACTAATTTTTATAACCTCAGCACCTCAGTAAATGTGCAAAGTAGGTTCTTCATAATTCATTCCACAACTTGAATGGTGTTTAGAATATATTTTAAGAGTTTGATTGACATTATTATTTATTGGTACCCGTAATATAAAAATCTGTTCTTGCCACTTTTAATTTAAATTACCATTAAAGTGACAGTGGTTTGTATATTACCAAAATAAACCCTACTTTTGGTAAAAGTATAAAGACGATATCATTCATATGTTTTGAAAGTCTATCGTACATTTGTTATTAAAAAAAACACTGATGTCTCTTGGATCTAAAGTTTGGAAACTCCTGTGGTGAAGTAATATTGTTCACTACTCCATTGTTTGTTGTAGACTGAGACGAGTGTGCTGTGGCTTCCACTGTTTTATCCCTTCTGTTTCTTTCTAGTCTGTATTGTTGTGGAGTCCTATTAGTACAAAGACCTAGCATCATATAAAATTTTATAGTTTTCACAACATTTAATGTATAAAATGTATGATAAAAAATATAAAACCATGTTTTTGTTGTTTTTTATTATAACTTTTGCAGTAGTTCAAGGAACATTAGTGGACCTTAACTAAATCCAACTTTGATGAATGTTATGTTATCACAATAAATTAGCAGTTGGGTAGTGGTGGTAGAATACATGAGAAAAGCCAGCCCTTGGTGTTATTTAAAACATAGTATTTTCTGTCTTCTAATTTGTTACCCATCTGATGTACATTCCCGACTAATGCTACACATTGACCAACCTGAATTTTACTTTACAAAGTTAATCATTGTCACATTATTTTAAAACACACACATCGACATCAACCATAAAATTACTTTTATCAACAGAAGCACATTACATTACATCCAAAGATGAGTTTAGACTTGGTAACAAAATAATTGTTTCTGTTCTGTTAGTGAACGTTTATAAATAATGTTATTTCAATTCTCTGGACTATTTTGATTAAATTTTAATGAAAATTACAAAAACTGTAATTTTATTGTTGATAATTCTATGCATGGATTGTGCGACGCTACTTTCTGCACTGGAAAAAATATTACAAGTGCGTGCAGTCGCAAACGTTTGCCGGGGATAGCTCAGCCTATAATGGCTGGGTAAAGTTCCAGGGTCTGCGATAAGGTCAGGGAAACCACTAGGCCAATAGCCGGGTCTAACCGGTATAGGACTGGCTCATACACGGGCACTGTGAACAAGTCACCAAAACAAACGTGCAA